GCTCCTAGGCACCCACAGCATTCAGTGATGCCCTACGGACGCTACAAGTGCCTCGAGACGGCCCTGCCTGGCTCCCTCTCCCAGAGTGGGGCTGGGAGGGCTGAGAGGCAGCGAATTATTCTTGGCCCTCGAGTGAGCAGCTGGGACTCTGACTCCTATAGAGCAGAACGCAAGACACGCTCTGGAACCCTTCCAGCCCCAGCCTGGCGCTGCATGAAGCTTGGAGCTGCCTGGGAGGCCGTGCCATGGGGCAGCCATGTTTCTTCCCCTCCCTGCGGCTCGGCTCTCAGCACAGAGCAGCAAGGCCCAGGTGCTGAGTGCATGTGCAAGGCCCTGCGGAAGTCATTGTGGTTTCTTAATTACCAGCGATTCTTGCTCTGCTAGACACCCTGCAAGCCGCTGGCAGGAACGGGTCTCCCCAAACCCTGGGAGTTCACGCCCCTGACCTTTAAGCTATTGGGCATGACCCTCTGTACCTCAGTTTCCCTATCTTTCAGAGGGAACTAAGATGCAGGGACTGAGGAGCTGTATGTGGAGGGGTTGAAGATCATGGCGAGAGGTAGAAAAACTAAATGATGAGGCTTTGTTATCAGCCTGATCCAGAGAGTTCAGGCAAGTGGCTCATTGCACCTGGCTGAGAGCTGAGTACAAGATCTGAGCACAGTGAGAAGGAAATAACAGAGCCCAGATTTCCAAAAGCAACCAGTGACTATGGGTGCTGGCCCTGAGCTTCCTTCCGGGGGCCTGATTTGGGGGGGCTGAAAAACTCTGAAAATCAGGGGTCTTTAAGGTGTTTCAGCTGGGCACCCACTATAGGGAATCCTTTTAAAACGCTTGGCCCGGAGGCACAGTGGTACACGCAGGACCCCTCCAGAAACCCACGTGTATTCCTCCTCCAAACAGTCCATTGCCCACACACCAAAGACCACAGGACCCCGGGAAGTGAGCCGGGACATTTCCTCTCACGTCCCTTCCTTCCCGGACCACCCAAACCAGAGGCCTGGTCCCCTCCACAGCATCTCTGGCCTCCCTCATTGCCGGTTTGTGGCCTGGCACAGTTCTGAACACTGGCCTTTGCTAAGGGACCAGGCTGGGCTGCTAGCCCTGACTTGGCCTGACTTCTGAGCAGAGGGGCCTAGCGATTGGGCCTATCCCAGCCCTTCCCCCACTTACCTTGAAGACTTTCCCAAAGGCGCCATCCCCCAGCTCCCCCAGCACAGTCCAAACGTCCTCGGGGTTGACATCTCGCTTCACATTCTCGTAGTGTCTCACCTTCTTCTTCTCCAGGCCCAAGCGGAAGAGCTTGAGGAGGAAGGCCATGGCATTGGGGCTGGTGGGGCAGGTCCCCTGGGCTCAGCCTGGCAAGGAAGAGTGTGGCCCAAAGGAGACCCCCATTCAGAGCCCTTAGAGGCACCACCAGAGACATGGTCGCTTCATAGCTGGGGAAATCTGTGTTGGGGGGATCCCTAGACAGAGCCCTCTGGGGCACAGGGTGCCTGAGGGCTGGCGGACAGGAGGACAGGGATGCTGAGGGCAGTAATACCAACGTTTATCTTCTCACGTTCCTGCGCCTCTGCAGTCTTGAGAATGCCTTCCAGCCACCACGACACCGCACAGGGCACCCCCACGCCATGTGCCTCGGCCACCAGCAAGCTCCCCCGCACCGGGGGCCTGGGACAGGACAGAGATGTTTGGAGCTGCTCAAAGAGCCCGCACGTTGCCTCCTGCCCCTAGCTCGCCGAAACACTAGTGCAGGAAGCAGGCTGCAGCGAGAGCGAGAGCTGGTGCTGCGCAGAGCGAACGGTTCTCACAGGATGTGTGGAGCCTGTGGGTAAATATAGCCTGCAGCATGAGAGCACGGTGCACTTCGTGCTAAAGGACGCCCTTGCCACCGGGGAGGTAGCTACAAAATGGCAGCTCATTAAACTCCCGCATCCCCTGGGCTAATGGACCAGCTCAGCCGGGCCTTGGCATCTGTGAACCACGCCTTGGAATCGTGTCTCCGCAACCCAGCCTGGAGCCAGCCCCCAGGCTAACGCCCTCTACCAATGGGGCTGGAACGCTCTTTAGAGTGAGGATGCTGTTCCTCTTGTGCCCTGTCGGCACCCCCTAGAGCTGGAGCTGGGAGCAGGCTGTGGCTCTGGGAGAAGAGGAGGTAGACAGAGGTAAGGGGGCAGAGGAGCCCCAGGAGCAGAGCCCTGGGTAAAACCTGGGGGTGCTGCAAGACACCCTCCCCCGCACCCATAGTTCCTGCGCCTGTGCCTCCTGTGGGCTAGATGTGGCTCTGGAAACCCCTTTCCCCAGTGCTTGCACTGTTCAAAGTCTCTAGTACCCAAGGTACTAGGGGCACTCTCTTTGCTGAACCTGTGGTAGGTTTTTATCCTCTTATGTGCACAAAACAAACCCCCATGCCATGCTAGTGTGGGGAGCGCACGCACCCTTCCCTGCAGGTGGCTCTCAGAGCAGCAAGCGCATGAGCCGAGCACAGAGGCGGAGTCTGGGGCACGGGGGCTGTTGCCTCCTTTCCCCAAACTGCAAGAGGCAGGCAGGCGGCCGGAATGCGCAGGGTGTTCTGCAAAAACAGCTTCCTGCTGCCAGGGGCCTGCACCTGTTGCTCCCTCTTTGCTGTTGTCCGAGGGGCTGCGAGTCCCAACCTGGTTTATAAGCAGAGTGATTCACAGGGGCTAAGACAAGAAAAGGCAGTTGGGTGTCTCCTAAAGTTAAAGGGCCCCGGGGACTTGCAAAAAGAGAGTGGCCTGAAGGATAGAAAGTTCCTGCAGGTTTTTTCCATTTGGCTCAATTGTTGAATCAAAGAGGTGGACAAAGGAAATGCAGCAGAGCTAATCTACCTGCATGTTCGCAAGGCAACGGGTGCTGTTCTACATGAGCACTCATTGGAGAATTTGGAGAAGATGGGAGCAATACAAGAACGGAGAGGTGGCTAAGGAATTGGCTGTGCGGGTGACTGCAGTGGGTCCCACTGAACGGTGTCAGGCCAGAGGTATTTGTTTGCAGTAGGAATGTAATAGTATAGTCAATTAACCGATAAGCATAGCTTATCGGTTAGTGCAGTGGTCCCCAACGTTTTGGGGCTGCCGGGCGCCTGGGGGCGGGGCCGCTCACGGGCCATGGGCCGCGCTCCTGGGACCTGCTGCACACCCGGGGGTGGGGCCAGCCCAGATGTCTCCACGGGCGCACGTAAATGGCCCGGCGGGCGCCATGGCACCTGTGGGCACCGCGTTGGGGGCCACTGGGTTAGTGCTATAGACTACACACAATTCTACCCTCCCCCTCACCAGTCCATTTCTTAGCAGACTGGCCAACAGCCCAGCTCAGTCCTGGCTTGCGACGGGTCCAGGACCTACCTCTGCTGCGGCTCTGCTATCCTTGGTGGTTGGAGACGGGACACTGGCTGGGGAGGACTCTGAGTTACTGCAGCAAATTCTTTCCCAGGCTCTGGCTGGTGGGCCTTGCCCACACCCTCAGGATCTCACTGATCCCCAGATTTCCCCCAGGTGAGATTGGCAGAGACTTGGGGGGGGGGGGGAGAGTTTCACCTTCTTCTGCAGCATGCAGCGTGTCCCTTGCAGGTTTGAGCCAGTGTCAATGGTGAATTCACTTGAAATCTGTAACCCATGATTTGAGGACGTCAGCAGCTCAGCCAGAGGTTCGGGGTCTCCTGCAGGAGGGATGGGTGAGGTTCTGTGGCCTGCACCATGCAGGAGGTCAAATGAGATGATCATGTTGTTCCCTTAGGACTTCAGTAAGTGTATCCGAGTCAGACTGTGCGTTCCGTTTTCACCCCTAGCTAGCGTCTGGAAGTGACTTGCCACAAGCTGCCAGCCAGGACTCTGCCGAAGGGGGCAGGTGAGCCAGGACCCCCGTCTCTCCCACAGTCTGGTGTCCTGCTGCCAAGTCTGTCAGGGCTGGAACCATCCGAGGTTCCTCTGCTCGAGGCTAGTTTTCCAACTTGATTCAGATGCTGCAGCCTCGTCACTCACCTCAGGAATGGTTGTATCGCCCCCTTGTGTGGACAAGTGGGTTGTACTCACAAAAGCTCATGATACCATCTTCAGTTGTCCCCGACCTTTGGGGGCTGCTGGGCGCCCCGGAACCAGAATAGCCCATGCGCTGCATGCCCGGGACCGGCGCCACTCCTGTTCCGTGTGCCCAGGGATGGGGACGCCCATTCACCACATGCCCGGGGCGGGCGCCGTCCCTGGCCGCACGTCCTGGGCTGGCACCACACCTGTGCCATGCACCCAGGGACCGGCACTGCCCATAACGGCTACTTAGCCATTTGGTCCCCAGCCTGTAACAATGCTTGGGATTCTTCCATCCCAGGTGCAGGACTGTACACTTGTCCTTGTTGAACCTCATCAGATTTCTTTTGGCCCAATCCTCTAATCTGTCCAGGTCACTCTGGACCCTATCCCTGCCCTCCAGTGTATCTACCTCTCCCCCTAGTTTAGTGTCATCTGCAAACTTGCTGGGGGTGCCACCCATCCCCTCATCCAGGTCATTAATAAAAATGTTGAACAAAACCAGCCCAAGAACTGATCCTTGGGGCACTCCGCTAGAAACCGACTGCCAACCTGACATCGAGATGTTGATCACTACCCGGTGGCCCGACATTCTACCCATCTTACAGTCCATTTAGCCAATCCATATTCCTTTAACTTGCTGACAAGAATATTGTGGGAGACTGAATCAAAAGCTTTGCTAAAGTCAAGATCTATCGCTTCCACTGACTTTCCCACGTCCACAGAGCCAGTTACCTCATCATAGAAGCTAATCAGATTGCTCAGGCACGACTTGCCCTTTGTGAATCCATGTTGACTATTCCTGATCATTTTCCCCTCTTCCAAGTGTTTCAAAATGGATTAACTGAGGATCCCCTCCATGATTTTTCTGGGGACTGAGGTAAGGCTGACTGGTGTGTAGTTCCCTGGATTTTCCTTCTTCCCTTTTTTAAAGAGGGGCACTACATTTGCCTTTTTCCAGTCATCCGGGATCTCTCGTGATCTCCACGAGTTTTCAAAGATAATGGCCAAAGGTTCTGCAATGACACTTGCCAGCTCTCTCAGAACCCTTGGATGCATTAAATCCAGGCCTGTAGATTTGTGTATGTTTAAGCTTTTCTAAACAGTTCCTAACCTGTTCTTACCCTACCTAGGTCTGTCCATCTCTTTCCCATGCTGCGTTGCCTACTGCATTTGTCTGGGAGCTGACCTAGTCTGTGAATACAGAGGCAAAGAAAGCATTGAGTACTTCAGCTTTTCCCACATCATCTGTCACTAGGTTACCTCCCTCATCCAATAAGGGCCCCACACTCTCTCTGATCACCCTAACATGCCTGTAGAAACCTTTCTTGTTATCCTTCACATCCTTTGCTAGATGCAATTTCAGTTGCGCTTTCACCTTCCTGATAACTCCCCTGCATTCTTGAGCAATATATTGATACTCCTCCCTAGTCATCTGTCCAAGTCTCCACTTCTTGTAAGCTTCCTTTTTGTATTTAAGCTCACCAAGGATTTCCCCGATAAGCCAGTCTGGTCACCTACCATATTTGCTTTTCTTACTGCGCATCAGGATGGTTTCTTCCTGTGCCTTCAATAAGGCTTCTTTAAAATACTGCCAGTTCTCCTGGACTCCTTTCCCCTTCATGTAAGCATTCCCCAGAATCCTGCCCATCAGTTCTCCGAGGGAGTCAAAGTCTGCTTTTCTGAAGTCCAGAATGTGTATTTTGCTATTCTTCCTTCTTCCTTTGGTCAGGATCCTGAAATCTACCATCTCATGATCACTGCTTCCCAGGTTGTTACCCATCTCTACTTCCCCTACTAGTTCCTCTCTGTTTGTGAGCAGCAGATGAAGATGCGCATGGCCCTTGGTAGGTTCCTTCAGCACTTGTACCAAGCAGTTATCCCCAATATTCTCCAAAAACTTCCGTATATAGGGTTGTGACTATTTTCTTCCACTATTTGATCTGAGGAAGTGGGTCTGGCCCATGAAAGCTCATCCTCTAATAAACCATCTTGTTAGTCTTCAAAGTGCTACATAGTCCTGTGTTTTGTTTCAGCTACACCAGACTAACACGGCTACATTTCTATCACTGTTAGCCATTGGTGTTTGTAATGGAAGGAGACTAATTGTAATTGTTATTATATTTAATAGACAGTATATAAACTGCTTCATAATTGCTTGTATTCGAAGATCGAAGATCTGCCTTGGACGGGGGGAGCTTCCCCCCCGTCCGAACCAGTTTTCCCTTGCTGCAGCTCGTAATAAAACTGTCTCTGGCTACTTGTTGCTTAAACACAATGCAGAGTGAAGGCTTGTTTTCTTCCACAAAAAACCCCTGTTGCCCATCCACACTGCCTTCCTGCTCAAGCAGGCTTATTCCTCGTGGGGA